ATTTCACAGACAAAACTGTTACGTGAAGCTCTGCTGCACAGGTGGCAAACACAAGGCCCACAGGCCAAATCTGGCCCTTCACCTTGTTTTATCTGGCACCTTGTTTCTATCCAGTGGCAGCACCAAGCTTCTTGCCCCTAGTTACGGAATGGTTACATTTATACAGTCCTAAAATTACATTTAGCCCTTTGAATGCAACTGCAGGCTGATGTGGCTTCCGGTGAAAATGAGTTTGACACCCCTGCTCTACTGAAATGAAAGTCATCAATCCTCTCTTGGAAGAATGTTTAGAATACAAAGGATCATCCTTGTTTTTTCATCACTTCCTGTAAGCACACTAATTAATTTTATTTTCAAGTAACATACTGTATTCTATTTTAGTATGAGATCCACTAATAACTCTTTCTTGAAACTTAATAAGAGTCCTGTTAAAAACTACTGAATGTAGGTAAGAATATTTAATATTTAAAAATTTTCCCATATATTTGAAATTTTTCACAACAAAAAGCCAAAAAAAAAGAAAAAGGCAGCCAATCAGAAGAAAACTATACTGACCTAAGAAAGTAAAACAGTACAAAGGTTAAATATGACAAGCTCCACAAAGAGCTTAATCTGTTATAGTATTAAGAGCTTAATCTGTTATAGTATTATTTTATCTTTTATAAATTAAAAAATGTATTACTGGAAATCTCTCGATCTAGGTCTGTGAGGAGACTAACATACTTGTCTGGCAGTCAGTCTGTATCCTTTGACAAAACATTTACACATATTATAGTTTCTGTCCTCATTATACAACTGTTTTGAAAGATATCTAGTAATATGTGAAAATTATTTACAAAGTTTTTGTTTTAAGTGCCTTATATCAATGTTATTACACTTCTTTCTGGCTTTTAAATTGTTCCATAACTTATTTGATCAAAACAGGATGAAGATTAAGATTTCCAATATTTCAAAAAATGAGTATTAAAATTAATATATCATATCCTGTGTCTAAAATAGCTATCTAATTGTTATGTGACTCTTGCAAACACAATATGAAAGTTACCTGTGTGTCCATATAAGTAGTTAAAATTTTGCTCAAGATATCTCTACTCAGATTCCTGGTAAGTTATAGCAAAATGAAGCTAGGATAGAAGGTCAACCAGCCTGGGAAGCCCACCTACTCAGAGAAAGTTCAGCTTTTGGGTTAAGGTGACATTATCAACAAAAACTAGGTGCTTACCTTAATAGTACAGACCACTCAAAAAATTGTTTCCTTTTTCCTATCCTTCATTCTTTTCTTTGTACCACTATTTTGCCTCGACTCTTTCCTTTATTATTCTTTTAACTCATCTTCCCCATATTGTTTCAATGAATACGATCTAATTTCTTCCTCTTATTCTTTTATCCCCCCATCCTCTTCATCTTTCTTTCCTTTTTACTTTTCCCTGCATCACATGATAATCACTCAAGATATTACTCTGTGATCCTGTAAGTCTGCAGCATTAAATGCATAGGGTTTTAAGAAACCTCCTAGATCAGATACCTCTATCCCATTTATGTACAACTACTGAAAAATCTATGGGGACCCCAAATGATGTTGAACCCATTTTCTCCCACCATGATGAAATCAATTTGAATAAACAAAGTGTCTGAATTGGAGGAAAACATACATACAGCCTAATTTATGCTTCTAGTTTGGTAGCAACCAGACCCAGATATTTATCTTTACCTGTTAAGAGTTCAAATAAAGTTAAGTTGGAATTACTGACCTCTGCAAAGGTTCCATGAATCAGGAATGTCTGGTTTCTTTTCTCCCAGAAAACAGGTTTAAATGAAGGAGACAAATTCTAATCCCTAAAACAAACTGTCTTCTTTACAATTATAAACTTGGCAATCATTTACCTAAATTATTATCCCAAAAGGTTGGTACCTATTAAAAGTTTCTATCATCTAACTCTGTATTTGAGGGTAATTCTAGGTTTCAGAAAGACCTGCTAGGTTAACTAGCTAGATTTATCTAGATAAAATTACTTACATGGTATGTAACACTGTACCAAGTGAAAACAGGTATTTAGTACATAACTGATAAGTACCACCTACTAACTAATCACTTACTTCTGAGACAAATGGTATGAACAATGTTCCGTTTGTTTGGTATAGAATGATATACACATCTTATTCTACAGAATATATCAAACTGAAAGCTAATGGTGCTGAACTTCAAGCAAGTTTTTTAGGTTGACTATATTGTAATATGTATATTATGTTGGCACTTCTTGTTCATATTCAATGCTACAAATATGCAGGGTGAAAAAGGAAAAGCTCCTCTGTGAGTTTTAAGTAGGAAGCCAAGCTATTGCCAAGTAGAATATAGTCTTGGTGCTTATGCCACAGAAAGACAATAATTTAAACTATCAGCAAAAATTTTAATTCCACTTTTCCTTAGAAATGTTATGTATCTACACCTGTAATACATGTTAATTAAAAAGAGTTCACATTAAGGGAATTTCATTATAGAACCCTTGACTGGAATGTAACTATTCTGTATATCAAAGGACACTTGTATTTGGTAAACTGTAGCAAGAAGTGGGCAAAACACTCTATTCTTCTAGCACCATTCTAGTATCTAGAGTCCCAGGCCAACACAATGGCAATGACAGTATCTTTCCTGAATAACAAAAATGGATAATACAACATTCTAATGATATCTATAAAGATTAAATATAAGCCAAAAGTCAATTCTTACCTTAAATACAGAAATATAGCACATCTACAAAGGAAGTAACTCTAAAAGGTTAAATGCCTTATAAAAAGGACACAATGTTGACACAAAGTTGGAGAGGCTATCCATACAATTAGTTTTTATGTTTTTCTTAAATTATTAACGTGATTTGCTATGCTACAAAATTCTGAAAATAAAGGAAAAAGTCACTCAGAATTACATCAGCAAGGAATAACCAATATTATTTTGGCATAGTTCTTCCAATATTGTGTTTGCACACACGTTTTGACAAAACTGGTAGCATTACACAATTTTGTATCCACTTTTTTCACTTATTTTTATCACATACATTTCTCCTATCATCATATACCCTTCTAAAATATGCAAGTGTACCTTATGAATATGCTCTTTCTTATTGGTTATTTGTTTTGTATCATAACTCTTAAATGCACATCTTGTAGAACAGTCTTTGTCCACAGCTATGATTATTTACAACCTTTAAGTTTTTCTATGTGGGGGGGCAGGGGACAAGGTTAAAGAGTACAAACATTTTTAAGGCTCTTGAACAGATAAGCATGATTCCCTCTAGAAAGGGTATACACCACTTTGTGAACTATAACCGATGATGTATGAGAATGCCTCACCTCTCCATGTAGTTCCTGACCTTACAACAGAACCATTCTTTTATAGGGCTTAATAAAAAACAACAAGTCATACTTTACCATACCTAACCAAGTTTAAAATATAAAACAGTTTAAGTCTAATATTAGTTAATATATTAGCTAATATTAGTATGTGTCTGTGCATTACCAATATATATAGGAAACATGACAATAATAGTTATGGGGAAGAAATAAAATAGAAGTACTGGGCTTAAAAACATCTTAAGAGACCATCTAGTTAAGCACCTATTGAAGTTAAAAAAAACTGAATCCTTCCCTCCCAGTGAAGATTTCAGTTGTACACAGCAAGCTAGGCACAGGATCTTAGTTTCCCATTTCTTAGATCTTAGCAGTATCCAGGAAATGGGTGAAAAATTTAGTACCCTAATTAGCAAAATGGAGAAGTTTGATCATGTGCTGTCTAAATCCCTTTCAAAATTACATAATTTTTACAATTTAGATTAAGAGGCTCTCCAGTAAATGAAAAGAACATTGAATTTGCTTGAGTACCTACATACAAGAACTAGTTTTAACTTTCATAGAATAAGGATTTTTTTTTACTATTTTATTTATTTATTTTGAGAGGAGAAGGGAAGGAAAAAGAGTGGGAGAGAAACATCCATGTGTGGTTGCCTGTCATGTGTCCCCTACTGGGGACCTGGCCTGCAACCCAGGCACATGCCCTGACTGGGAATCAAATAGGTGACCCTTTGCTTCACAGGCCAGTGCTCAATCCACTGAGCCACACCAGCCAGGGCAAGTAAGGATTTTTATAGTATCTTTATAATGTTCTTATAAAGTTTAAGTAATGTATGTCAATCTTGTAAACTGCTGAACTATCTAAATATATGTGGTTTAATTACCTATGTGCACAAATACTGTGAAAACTGTAAATACACTTAAAGTGTTATGTTAGAGCAAGGTGTATTAACCAAGAAAGGTCCTAAAGGAGAGCTGGACTCTTGACCTATAATTTCAAGGGAGAGTAAAGCTAATAAGTATTATAGGGTAACAGCTACAAAACAATTTCATGGGAATCAGTATATCTGGACAAAAGCTGTGGCAGAAATGAGGGAAGGTACTCAACTTATCATAAATGTAGAAAATGAAGAGAATGACCTGGTGTTGTGGAAGGACTTGGTAGGGAGTTTTAGTACATCACCTGGTGCAAAAAAAAGAAGGTATTTTTAGGGAAAGATAAGAGAGCCTAAAGTAATGCACCTTCTCATTGTGCAAGACAGCTCCATCAAATTCTACCAAAGGAAGTGGTTATGTAAATGAAATTCTCCTTTTAAAATAGTTATTACATAGTCAGAAAACAAGAGAAAAAATAACAATATAAAAAAGAAAATTATGCTGAAGCCTCTCTTTTCCTCTGCAATATAAATATTTGGGTCATAGTACATTTCAGGTAATTGCCTCAAAAAGAATACCTAAGTCTGAAATATATTTTTTTGAGTTTTGACAAAATATGAAAGAACAAAGGTCACCCACCACAAGGGTACAGTCTAAACATGGGAACACATACATTTTACACAGAGTTCAATTTTGAAAGGTTCTCGGCATAAAGAAATTGGATGGGTTTCTTGTTGTTTAGTTTTGTTTTTTATGTAGGGAAATGTGTTGTAGTTTACCTCTGTCCCTGCAAGCAGGTGTATTCATCAGGGTTACTATTTCCCAGAGCAAAGAAATCTGTTTGGTTTATTTTCCACCTTGTGACTGACAATCAAAGGAGACTACTGCAAGTAAAGAAAAAAAGAAGAGTGTTATGCATTAATTTGCACAGGAATCTTAGTTTTAACCTTTAGTTTTACTCAATTGCGCCTCCCCCCCCCCCCCCCAACAAAGCCAGCCTGCTTAGGACCTGGTGAAAAAGCCACGAGCATGGCGGAGGCTGGAGATTTCTGTACTACGGAGCTTCAAGGTTCTGGTTCACTGCCGCCTTCTCATTAAGAGGCCATAATCATAGTGCTGGCAGTGGAACCCAGCCAGCACGGTCCTCGGAGGAGCAGGTTTTCTGGAGCAGATACCCGCGGTCCTGATTACTCACCCGCACGCCACTCCACCACATACCCCTAGTCCAGGAGCCCCGCTGTTATCCGTCCTGCTGCTGGAACTCTCTGCCAGCCCTCACCCATAGGTCCCTCCGAGCCCAAACAAGTCCCCACCTTCGCAGCAGGCTTCAGGACAACCCCTTTCCCTGAGAGGAGACCGAGGACTGGTACTTAGCTCTGAGGTCCTGGACGCAGAGGGAGCTCTGCCTGCAACCACGCTGCTCCCCAACCACCACCAGCTTGGGGGCTTGTGTTACGTGGCTTGGCCAACAGCAAAAAGGACTCACGTAGCCGACCTGGCCCCACCCCACTGCCCTCCACCCAACACCTCTGTGGGGTTCCTCTGCCGAGATTCACCTTTGTTCCACCACTCGGATCTTGCCTCCCCGCCCCCTCCCCCCCTCCCCAGGATGTGGGTAAAGAGAGGCGGGAGTTCTTCTGACGTCTCCAACCGCCACCCTTCTCGGTGCTCCGGAAAAGGGGAGGGCCCCAAACTGCCTGCTTCTCTTTCTTCCTAAAGGGCTGCTCACGCTGGCAAAGCGCTGTCGGGAAGCGGGCCCAGTTCTTGGTGCTAGGAAGCAGACGTGGCTATTCCTGCACAGAGCGCAGATGCCTGGAGGCGGTGCCATCCCCAAGGGAGCCACCCCGGAAGGAAGCAGGCCTGCAAGAAGCTGGTTCCACTTGGATTGTTGCACTTTCCTTTGTTATTGCTCGTTGTGTTTTTAGAAACAAACGAAAGTCCAAACCTTCACACCAGTTCATCTCAGGATCAGAACCCGGGCCACAGTGGCTTGGGGAAAGGAAGGTAACTGTCTGACTGGACCCCACAACTGGGGTGGGTGGGACAGGCACTTGTGTTGGGACCAAAGCCAGGGCTTTAGCCAACAACTCAAGCCAGAGCACAACCAAAATGAAGTTAACTATTGTCCCCAGCCCAAACTTGCAACTCTATCTTTACAGGCTTTAAGTTGAGCACTAGTGGACCAATTCTTTTTAATTTTTTATTTGTTTTATTGTTCCAGCATAGTTGTCTCCATCTCCCCTGGATGGAACTAAACAGCATTATGCTAAATTAAATAAGGCAGGCGGTGAAAGACAAATACCATGTGATCTCACCAATTGTATTTAAAATTTTCTTTTACCAAAAAATACCACTTAAAAAAAATAGTACTGCTTTTTCCTTCAGAGAGAATGAAGAACTTAAATTGGCTTTAAATGATCTGTTGCTGTTATTCAGTTGCTAACCTGACACTGTTTTGATGTCTAGCCCCTGTAGTAAGGACCTTGTCTAATACCAAATACATTAGGTACTTATCAATGAGCAGCTATAAGAAGGATATAAAAATGAAGGAATGGTTTCTCCAAAGTTACAGTATTAGGAGAATTGAAGCAAGGTCAAAAATCACAATATGCCCTAGGGTTCAGTTCACTCAGGTGGGATAGTCTGAGCTTTGGAAATAGGATTTGGGGAAAGGTATTTGAGGCATAACTGTTATGGGTGAATGTTCATGACATAGTCTTATAAGTCAGCCAGGCAACTGCTCTGCTAGCTGCCTGCTGAGCAGCCCAGCACCAACCAAGGAATCATACTCAGTAACTGCGCTATTTACTCAGTTTTTACTGAATACAAGTTCACTCAAAGTAGAACACTAATATACATTAATATCCTACTCACACTATAACAATCTAAGAGAAATAATAACACACAGAGCAATCAATGGAGGATAACAAACCTGAGTCCCAGAGTCTCAGTCTGCAGGTCCAAGAGACAGCATAGTAGGCAAAGGAGTTGTCAATGTCTTGCAAGGAAGGCTCTTCAGAGCCAGGTGAGCAGCAGGGCAGAGCCTACAGCGCTGATGCCAAGGGAGATCAGCGTGGCATGGAGCAGTACTGTGGTGTGTGGAGCTTGGCTATCTCAGCCAGTGATCTGGAACCTGTCTTATACCTTGAAAGTGGAGTACTCCACCCATCTTGGTCTTTTCGGTTAAATGTCTTGGCACCCCTGATGCCAAGTGTGGAATTTGCCCAGGAGCATATTTATGGGTGGTCCCCCTCTGTGGATGTGGCTATTCTGACCATGTGTGTAGATATCCTAAGTATTCCTCCTGCCAGATTTGTTTACTCTGACTTAGGTAATTTTCCTCTTGAACCAAAGTGTCATGGCTGACTGGCAGCCATTTTAGTTGACATAAGTGACTCCACTTTGTTTTATATACTTTATACTATCTTAATCAGACCCATGCCATTTTATTGGCACACACTCCACATTACCATACGTAGTTCCTAGGCCCCCGCGACTAATAAATGCTTACCTTAAACCCCATGAAAAGCACCTCCTCACTGTCTTTGAAGAAGTCCAATGTCTCACCATGATTAAGGTCCCTTTTAAACCCAATTTTTTTAAAAATATTTTCTTTATTTTTCGAGAGAGGGGAAGGGAAGGAGAAAGAGTGGGAGAGAAACATCAATGTGTGGTTGCATCTCATGCATCCCCTGCCGGGAACTGGCCTGCAACCCAGGCATGTGCCCTGACTGGGAATCGAACCGCGATACTCTGGTTCGCAGGCCCGCGCGCAATCCACTGAGCTACGCCGGCCAGGGCTAAAACAATTTTTTGTGTCTCCCTTAAACCCAGTTTTCTCTTTGTAAAACAGCTACTATATTTATGCCACTTAATCTTCATAAGAACACTGGGATGGAAATTATCCTTATTCTATAGATGAGGAATGGGGTGAAGTGATTTTTCCAAGGTAAAAACATGAAGGTGAGCTCAGACTATAAAGTCAGATTCCACGTGTAGGATTTTTTCTATGGCACAGTAAGTATCAGTGTCAATAAAAACTGCACTCCAGTCTCCTACTAAATTGGTATTATTTTTTTAAAAGCCTGATTTGTGGAAACATAAATACCCCAATATTAAAATGATACAAGAGAGAAAGGTTATTAACACATAAAATTTATTCTTAGTGTAATTGTATAACTCATATTTATATAGCTAGATATGGTTGGTGGTGATTCAGAGATCTGATCAGATTACTGGGGAGGAGTAGGAAGGAACCATAGCAGAAGGCAATGGTAAACAGTATAGGATGGTACTGACTGAGAAGCTGAATGCCTCCAGAGTGCATGGAATTATGGGCTAGAAGATTTGAAATAAAAGAGGTCTAGCTGTCTAGCTTGGAGGTTCTCGGACTAGCTTGGCTTCTTGGGCTCACTTGCTGGATCTCTTCTTCCTCAAGAATGCCTGGATGGTCATGCTGCAGCTGCCTGCATTTCCCAATGCACAGTATTTTGAATAGGAAGGAACTACAGGCAAAGCCCAGGATTGGGCTGGCCTGGCAGAGGGTGGCAGGTTTATTCTTTGGGTATTCTAGAGGGAATAGGCTGTGATGCAGAAGACCACCATTCTTCCAAAATTGTGTAGCTTTTTGTATCTTATGTTTTAGTTTGTAAACTAACACTGTAGAAATAAGATCAATAAAACAAATGGGGGGGGGTGCTAGGAGAATTCAGGTGTTAAAGAGTTTAAACTGAATTGATAGGCTTAAATGATTAAAGCTGAACCTAAAGAGTTAAAGAGTTTAGCTTTAATTGATAAGCCTAAGTGACTAATAATGTGGAAAGCTGTTAATTCCAAAATTGTGAAGCTTTTGAATAAACACTCCTTCCCTCTATCACCAAACCTTTGCCTCTGTCTTGTGACCATTCAAGACCTGGCAGGTTCATGAGATTCAGGCAGATGGAAGAATATTCACAGTCATTGGAATATCTGACATGCCTTTATTCAAGGGTGGGTGATTCACACATGTTGCAAGCTGTGTGTCTCCGGCATGTCTCTGCATGTCACCTGCTCCCCAGCATGGCATGCTGAATGTCTCTCATCACCCAGTGTGGCACCCAGCAGGGAGCCCCTGCCCCCTTAAATACTAGACTATAGACAAAGTCAGCACGGTGCCAACAAAATTATGCAGCAGAGCATCACACAACACATGTGAGCTCACTCAAGGCTATGGGAACACTTTATCAGACCCAGTCTCATGGCTATAAGAACACTACTTATCAGGCCCATTTTTAAGGTCATGGGAAACTGCTTCCCTTAGTTGCCCAGACACCTAGGTGAGGAAGTCGGACTGCCTCTGTTTACCCTATACTCTGGAATTTTGCTTCAAGAGTGGTGGTGGACAGCAGGACCCCAACTGCTGTTCAGTAACAGCAATGGCAACTCTGGTGGAATCCTAACTGTCTAGTGCTGGTTGCCCCAAGAGTGGAACTGTGGATTTCCCAGACTCTGGGAGTTTCTCTGCACGCCCACTTGAGGTGTGGGCCCTCTAAACACACCTGGCTGGTGAAAAGGAAATGCGTCTTGGAAAAGGCCTTGAAATGAGGTCCAGGTGAGGACTACTTTGAGAAAGCCATTGTCTGAGAACCACGGTTTGTGAAATTGTTTGGCAAAAGGTTTGCTTATGAGTATTTGCAGGGTAAATGGAGTCATCCTTACCCAGGTGTCTGGGTAACTAAAATAAGCAGTGTTCCCATAGCCTTGGGATGGGGTCTGATAAACTCTATTCCCATAACCTTGAGTAGGCCCTCATGCGCAGAATCATGCTGTGTTATACAATGTTTTGGCACCCTGCCAGCTTTGTGTGCTTTTAGTATATGAGGGACTTGGGGCTTCTCACTGTGTGACACTTGGCTTACACAAGCATGGATAGCTCCACCCTTGAATAAAGGTATGTCTGGCATTCTACAGTTCTATGCATTTTCTTCATCTGCCTGAATCCCAAATGAACCTGCTTGGCTTTGACAGGCTGAAAGAATTTAGTAAGTCTTCCTGAAAGAATTCAGTAAGTTTGCTACTCTTTGGAATAATGGGGTCATGGATACCAGTTTTATTTACATGTTCTCAGGTTTCTTGGATTTTTCGGGTTATAGTTTTTGGCCTATACACCCAGGCCAATAAGGGCAGTTCTGTGCTATCTCCTAGAGGGAGCCCACTGGGTAGGATATTGGCAGACTGGGTATATACTGCTATTATCCAATTTTCAAGGAGGTATTAATTAATTATTATAATACTGTGTGGCCTATGCATGTTTTGAATTGTGAGGAAAGGTGGCCCATGCATAGCTCCCTAAGTTATTGTGTCATCATGCAATTGAAACAGTATTTCCAACAGTTAGATGGAATGAAATCCATTATGTCAATGCATTTATGTTGCATAACAGGGTTTTGCCAGTGACAGAGAATTGCTCGGTTGTACAGAAAAGGAAGGAGACCCCAAAACCTCTTCCCAATAGTAAAACATAGGAAGAAAGGGAGAATGAGGAGATAAACCTTATCAATGTTCTGCACCC